TTTTTTTACAAAAATCTAAGTGCCATGAGTGAAGCAAGAAAAAAAAAGAAAAAACATCAGCCAACAACAGTGGAATAGGAGTGAAAAAAATCTGAAGGGTTTTCACCTTTTACCTTCATGGCTGACCAGTTTCTTCTACACCAAAGCATGAAAGTGATTCTTTTTCATTATAATTATTATTATGACAAAACAGGCTTACTCAAATGCATCTTACAGAACTATTTCCACTCGTTGCAATTAAAATGGTTGCTCTTTCCCATTTCAGTGCAGTATTTCACATTTCTTTTTTTTTTTTGGGGGGGGGGAGACCCACCTCAATGAGCGGCCCGTCAGATCGTATGATCTTGATCACCACCACCATGGGGATGCAGATCATGGAAGCCAAGGCCAAAGTCCAGCCCACTCCGATGGCCCAGTCGGGATATTCGTACACCTTGTTGTACGTCAGCGGCTTGTATTTGACCAGAGAGAAAATAAAGCAGCCCTGCAAACACACAAACCACCATTTGATATGACGACGATGGCTAAAACAAAGTAACGCAACATTTTCTCCCCGATAAGTGACGTGACAAGTCGAGAGTGGTCCCCCCACCCCCCTCGTAATCTTGATCTTCCACTCAAAAGCTGTGCCAAAGTGATGTGACGCTAAAATTTCCGTTTCATTTCCAATTTTCACGAGGGAGTTTGTAAATGTCAAACGTTCAGCCCTTACCATACACAAGCAGGGAGTGATGACAGACCAGCTCCACTTCATCCAAGGGTTTGGTCGGTAGCCGATCATGTCCTCCACAGCATCGTAGAAGTTATCAACGCCTGCCCAAAAACGCAAAGCACACTGATTGAAAAGGGGTCACTTTTCTTCATGTTAGCATTTTCCTGTTTGAATCATCCAAAATTAGCATTTTCAAATAGTATTTTCAAATATTTGCATTTAAAGATGTTAGCGCTTTCAAATGTTAGCTTACCAAGAACAGTATTTTCAAATGTTGATGTTTTAAAAGGTTAGCATTTACAAATGTGAGTATTTTCAAAAGCTAGTACCGGCAAACGGCGAGCATTTTCAAATATTGACGTTTTAAAAACGCGAGCATTTACACTTTTTTTTTTTCATCTTCAAACGTGATAACCATTTTCAGTTTTTAGTATTTTCAAAAGCTAGCCGTGGAAACGGTTAGCATGATCAAATAGTGGCATTTTAAAATGTTGGTGTTTTAGATGCTAGCATGACCATTTTCAGATGTGCTCATCACTGACATTTTCAAACGTTAGCGTTTCACAATATTTGTTCTCAAATGTTAGCCTTTTTAAAAAAATGTGATCAACCATTTTGAAACGGCAGAATAATTGGAACCATTTGGCATGCGCTCGTACTCACCATAAACCCAGGCAACAGCTACACATTCAAAGAATGCCACCCACAGAAGGCACACACCGCTCGCTGCATAGTAGTCAAACAGCTGGAACACGTACATGCCACCCTAAGGACACACAAACACAAACAGGCCATTGACTTTTGGCTTCACTTTAGCCCACTCGAACAACCAGCTCGTGAAATATACTTTTGTGGTTCAAACCTGTAAAAAAAAAAAAAAGACTAAAACAGGATGTCTTATGCACGCCACGCCATGTAACCCAAACGTGCTGCCGTTTCTTCCATTTTTGCATTTTCCAGGAGACGAACATTTTGACATTGCCGTGTTTCCAAACGTTGGCATTTTCAAATTTTTGCATGTCTGATGATTCGCACTTTCACAGAGATAAATAATAATCATAATAATAATTTCAGAGGTTAACATTTTCAAGCATTCCATTTTCAGTCTTTTTTTTTTTTCTTTTTCTTCCCAAGCGTTGACAGGTGCATCTCAAGGACCTGAGATGTGCGAAAGGCTACGGAAACATTTCCGTTTGTTTGGCGCTCCTAACCTATAACATGACAAAAAATATGGCAAAAGTCAAGCGCTCTGCTTTCCCAACGCACGTGCGTCATTGCGGCCATGAAACCGATAATATTCAAGGTGACATGAGCAATCTTCCCTCAAGGAAATTATGTTTGGATTAAGTGCGCGGCGAGCTGCGAAATGTCTTCTGTGACTTTGACCGCTGAAGAAGCCATTTGGCTGCGCAGGCGGAAAGCAGAAAGCCGAATTACGCGGGGACCCGGGCCGAATGCCCCCCCCCCCCGCATTGACGTCTGGGACGAGCCCCGGCGGAGCCGTCTTGTCCTCTGGAGGAACATCCTGCAGCAAACGTGACGCCCTCGATGCCAGTAAAATGCCGGAATCTCTTCTCGCGCGTCGGCGGCCATTACGGGCCCACAGAACCTCCGCCCAGAAGAGCCATTTGTGCATTCGCGTAGTCATGAAGTTGCAGCTTTCCGCATTGAGATGGAAGTATGGCGACATCAGAGCGACGCTGACTGACTCAGACCTTAGTAGCATAGCAACCGGTATCACAGCAACATCGTGTGTGTGTGTGCGTGTGTGTGCGTGTGTGCGTGTGTTACCTTGGTAACCATGGTGAGTGCCAGCAGGTAGCTGATGCAGCATATGATAGCGATGAAGACCTCTCTGCGGTAACCCTTCCGTAGGAAGGACGGATACAGATCCACCAGTGATGTGATCTGCCCTTCCACCTCCACAAACTGCGCACACGCACGCACACACAAATTACATCGCAGCTTGTATTACCTCCACAAATGAGCCTGGTGTGTTGTGTGGGGTGTTAAAATGTAGATTTTTTTTTTTTTTTTTTTTAGTTTAACACTCGTTCAGACCGAGCCTTTACGCTCACACTCAAAAGATGTGAATCCGTCATTGAGTCACAACGTGAAGGCATGTGCAAAGCCCTCGCAGAGCGCTTTCACGTGAGCTCTGACTCGATGTGGTTTTCTGCGTTTGGATTTTGCATGTGCGAGGACGGCACGTGGCTAACCTGACTGTCGAGGCCAAGCAACAGGAGCATGATGAAGAAGAGGATGGCCCAGAGTGTGGGGAAAGGCATCATGGTTACGGCTTTGGGGTAGGCAATGAAGGCCAAGCCGGGACCTAAGGAGTGGAAACGGGGAACACGGGACATGGCATCGGCAACATGTGACAAGATGGCTCCCTCTGCACACCGCCCAAGGGCGTAACCAAAACACAGCGTTTTGCTTCCACCCTGTGCGCTTAACTAGCGAGCTATGCGTAGACCCCAAAAATTCATCTTTCTTTCGGATAGTCTGCCGGCATGGCCGCTCTAGAGTGCCTCGTCGTCGTCTGCCATAAGTGTACGCAAAGAAAGAACGAGGAGGGGGCTTTTTTATTTTCACTGATGGGTTCAATCTGACAGCCGGCGTGTGTGACTGACTCGGGCTTCAAGCAGGCATGGCTGTTTTCGAGCGCAGTATTGTAACAACATGGAAAAGCCCCGCAATGAGCCAGCACGATATATTCCGGCCACTCAAACATAGAGGGATGTGTAGGCGGAAGAAAGATGCGAGATGAAGTGGCTGCCATTTTTCCAGGTTCTACTAGAGGTATTTGATTGACAGTAGACAGTTGAGTGGGGTGTTTCAGCACTTTCACAAGCCTCACCCACGTCGGAAGAGAGCAGAGACGCTTGGCAATTTTATTGTATTTTTTTGAAATCATTCAAATTCATCAGCGTTGTTGACGACAACATCAAAGGAGTTTGGCGACATACCTGACTCTGCCACATCCGCAATGTCCACCCCTTGCTCTTGCGCCATAAAGCCCAGGACGGAAAATATTGCGAAGCCAGACACAAAACTGGTGCCACTGTTGAGGGCTCCCAGCAGCAAACAGTCCCTGTGGCACACGTGGCACCAATCAATCGATGAATCAATACGCACTTGCCCAAAAATAATTTTTAAAAAAGCACATAACCTCTCCAGTGCCGCCTACCGACCTGTAGCAGTTGTATTTGTACTTGTTGTAACTGCCGAGGGACGTCATGGCGCCCAAACAGATAGCGTAGGAGAAGAAGATCTGCGTGCCGGCGTCGATCCACACCTGACAGAAGAGCACATGGACGGAGAAGGCGGGGCTGAGTGATGCTAACTCACAACATGGCACCTTGTAGCATAATAATGCCACGGTACAGTGTGACGAGTGACATACTGTAAGTAGCACAACAGTAACGAGCGACATGAGGTACGATAATATCAGAGCACCGCGGTAACTAATAACATGGCAATATATCAACAATAATAGCCAGTAGCGGGCTACTGGTAGCAGAGTAGCATGGTAACATGCTAGCACGTACCTCTGCGTCCTTCAGGCGGGTGAGGTCGGGGTACAGGTAGAATTTAATGCCCTCGGCGGCCCCGGGCAAGGTGACGCCACGAATCAACAGAACGATGAGCATGACGAAGGGGAACGTGGCCGTGATGTACACCACCTGGAGGCAAGGCAACGCCACGCCGGCGTCAAGTCGTCCTCGCGTTGCTGCTTTTTGACTTAGCCGATTTTCCCCATGCCGTTCAGAGGCGACTACCCACCTTCCCGGTGGACTTGACGCCTTTCCAGATGCAGAAGAAGCAGATGACCCAGACCAGCAGTAGACACAGAGCCAAGTCCCACTTGATGGGGCCGATGTCCTCAATGCCACTGCTCATGTCCAACACTTTGCGTCTGCACCGCGAAGGACGCCAACGATTAACATCTGAACCACAACGGCATTATTTGCCGGACCCTATCCCGACCCCGAACCCAAACGCTAATGCAAACTTGAAACCGAGTTCTTACCCTACCCTGAACACAAACAAAAATCAGGACCCCGAAGCTAACTCCACGTCGAACTCAAACGCAAACCTTAATGAAACAAACGCTAACGCTAAAACAAGCCCAGCCCTTAACCGAACCCATAAATCCTTAACTATAAGCTCACAAACCCAACAATGTAATCTTAAAGCCCTAATCGTAACCCCAAATGTGGGGTCTTGCCCTCTGACCGAGCCTTAACCCCGAAACGAAACCGTAAATCGGATCCGCAAACCAAGAAACTCAAAACGCATTGTTTAGCCAAACCGGCTAACTTAAAACCCTGAAGTGAAACGAGAAACCCAAACCTGAACTGTAACGTCAACCCACAACCCCGAACCTGAACGCCCTACAGGAGTCCGCAAATCTTAACCCGGCCCGAATCCTGATCCTAAATCAAAGCCTCACGCCAAACCCGTAAAACGAACCCGGACCGCTTAAGTCTACTAAAGGCCATTGTGTGCGGTTGCGTACGTACTCCCAGAACTCTGTGACGGGGGAGGTGAAGTTGGAGAGGTTGGAAGGCAACCAGAAGCTTTTGTTCTTGCGGTACGTGTCCTCGATGCAGCGGTCCGTGTTCCAGGGCTGGTTGCACTTGGCCCACGGCAGTTCGGGCTGGAAACACTTGACGGCGCAAAGGCCAAGAAGGCACAAACTTCAAAACAACACAGTGGGCGCGGGCGCGTCGCGGAACGCCGCTTCGAAAGACCGTGAGGCCTTCATCAAAAAGTGGACCTGACACGCATTTTGACACTAAATCGGGCTGTCGAGTTGCCGGGGGGGAGGGGCTTACGGAATCCTCTGGATTTGAAAAGCTGCCGTTCCGTCGCGCGCTGCCATCGCCATATATGGAGGCAATATCACCGGCAACTCGACTGAAACTTCCAAAGTCCAAATTCGGTCAGTTTCAATTTTCTCTTCTCTCGGGTCAGTCCTCGCGTGGCTCAATTTCAATCTTTGAAGAAACATCTTTAACCCTTTCAAGTGCGGCAGGTGACGATCGCGCGATCGGGTTGCAGGGTGCGTGAAAAAGGGGCGGTACCTGGAACAAGTAGTAGAGTCCCCAGGCCAAGATGACGATGTAATAGATGTTCAGCAGGGACACGATGACGATGGAGGCGTAGCCGATTCCTGCAAGCGCACAAGGAAAGCGGCATGTTGGGAGGCGGCGTCAACGTAAGGCCCGCCCTCGTCGCACATCGAGCGGAGGCCGTTTCCTTCTCCATGCCGTTAGCCCGGGGGGGGAGATGGAAAGATTTTCCTGCGTCGCTCGTTTTGCTTGATGGAGGTACACGGCCGCATCTGAGATGCGGACACGCGCCCCGAAGCGAAGCCCGTGTACGGCTGCTGTGACCTCTCGCTTGCCCTTCGGCGCCCGCATACGAGCTGAATCCGACGAAGAGCGTGGCGTCACTCACGCGCGGGCGAGGCAGAGTGCGTGGACCCTGAACGCAGGTGCGCAGACGCCCGCGTGATTTTCAAGACTCGTAGCAAACAACCTCGAAGGCCTCGTTCGGAAACGTCCCCTATTTTATCTATTAACTGTTTTTCTGCCGACAGTGGATATCCGTGACGCCTCCAACGTGCGGACAGCATTCATAGATGTCAACAACGCCCCCCCGCCCCCACCCAAAAGTGAAAAAAAAAAAAAATGTAAATGCGAGCATTGCAACAGCACCACTAAGTCTGCTTTGTGTTCCCTTGCAAGACTCCATTTTGCGGCGTCTGACCAGCTGTCCGTCCGCCCCTCCCCCTCCTCACAATAAACTGCCAGAGTGTCCTCGCGATTCAATGGCCATCGAAAGACGACGAAACAACAACTCCACAGACGCGCCGGCTTTTAAAAATCAGAGCAACCGAAGCAATACTCTGATTCTTCTCTCACTGGTTACATAAACGTTGGTGTTGATCTGTAAAGGTTGTTCAGTTCTGTGAACCATTACCGCTACTTTTAAAGTCGGGCGATGTCGCTGGCGACGAGTCGGCCGCCGGGGAGTGAGCAATTACATCTGCCGAACGCGTCTATGAAGAACGAGTGCGGGACGTCTTCTAAAGCCAGAAATCAAGAGATGGAACGCCATCGGTCCATCTCTAGATTTGATGCTGTCAATACAGAGACTCTTGTCTTAAGTCCCATTATTTCTTCTTTTTTTTTTTTCCCCAAAAGTGTCTCTCAATACGAAGTCGTCAAGGTTCTGTCTCGGACCAAGGTCAAGGAAAGCCACCGGACGTGATGGCGTCCCTCCTCGGATCGCCAGATTCATGCTCTGATCGGCTCGCGCTGTGCGCTCCACCCGCGCGGCGTGCCCAAAAATATACCTCGGAATGTCTCCAAAACAAAGGAACTACTTGTTGATTTTTAGCCAGAAGAAGGCCTCTTATCTCCCTTTAACCATTAACAGCTGTGTTGTGTGTGGTGTTCGTGCGTGCGTGCGTGCGTGTGTGTGTGTGTCGCGGCTGTGTACACGGGCCAAGGCCCGATGCTCAAAAGAACGGCCATCATCAAGGTGTTTTGTGCCATCCGCACACGTGTGTGTGTGCGCGCGCCAAAGCCGATTGGCTAAAAGAATGTCCTTCAAGGTCCTTTGTGCCATCTGTGCGCATATGAGTGGATGTGCGTGCGCTTGCGTGTCTTTGTGCACCGATGCTCACACGGTCTGATGCTGATCAAACAAACACACACACACACACACACACACACACACACACACACACACACACACACACACACACGTTGTGGTCCTCCATGATGTCACTGATGTTTCGACCTCAGTTGACCTCGCAGGTGTTGGGCAAAAAGAATGTCTTGATGCTGTATTTGTCGGATCATTCATCAGAAAGCGAGAACGATCTGACTTTATTGTTTTGTGTTTTTTGTTCTTGTAAAGTGTCCTTGGGTGTCTTGAAAGGCGCTTATAAATAAAATGTATTATTATTATTATTATTTACATTTGCTTTCATTCTTTAAACTTTTTTTTTTTCCTCCATAAAAAAAAAAATAGGTCACATTTTTTTAATCTGACCCCAACACACGAACCCCGACCCAGTCCCCGACGCTCGCTTTATAAACGGACCCGAAAAGAGTTGATTTTGATTTTGATTCAATTTCAATTCGCAAGAAAGGAGATGGCGCTAGCTGGAAGCTAGCCACGTTTGCACTTCAGCGAAACGGACCTTCCATGTATGCGGCGGGCCTTGACAACTTTTTCTGCGTGATTCACATTTACGTCAAACTATCGGAACGTCTCATGGGCCAAGAGGCGAATGACGAGGACGCTGCATAGACACGTTTCTATCGATCTACACACACACACACGGTAGAGGTCCCTCTTAGCCAATGGGATGCCAGGAAGGTGCTCGGTATTAGCCAATGGCAGAGCAGCTCTCGGTACGTTGCGTTCAGGAAACTCGGAGCTGCGAGTAGCAGGCCAGACTGTATTTTTACCTTTCGTATCTTGAAATGTCTTTCTTTCTGTCTCGACATGAGGATTGCGAGATTCTGTCCGAGACCTTCGTAAGGAAAAGCCGCCGGACCAGACGGGCGTTCCAGATTATCCTCCGCTCATCTTCCCCTTTGCTGACTCTAACTTGAACTCGACAGCGACTTAAAGTAGACGCCACACAAAAGCCGAAGCAGAATCCTATTTTCCCTAAACGCCTTAGCTCCTTAACCCCAATCAACGCTGGCCTCGAACACTCAACGCTCGGCTCCAACCTGTCGTTTCATGACAAGTCGTCAGAAGAAAGACGCTCGACGATCTCGATTCTGTTTTTTTTCCAGGTACCGTATTTGATTGGCACTTGACAAATTCAGTCATTCGAATGTGTTGGGTTGTGAACAAGTGGGGACAAACTTGGCAACACATACGTCGTTTCACTTGACAGGGACTTTCATTCAAATGCTAACCCACAAATGAAAGCCCATGACCAAATCTGAAATCCACCAACCCGAAATCTCACCCCGTCTCCCCCCACATGGATGTGGACAAAAATGAATTGAAGACAACATCGGAATTTTTCCACTCTACCAGCGTTTGCCCCGCCCACCTCACTCTCACTCTCTCTCTCCGTCTTTTTCTCTCACCCTGCCGTTCCGTTTTTCTACCCACTGCATCGCTCTCATGTGTTGCCGCGCTGTTGCCTTGGCAACTTGTGATCCAGGACACTCTGTACATCGTGTCGGTCGTTAGTGTGTATTAAGCACGTCTGTGTGTGTGTGTGTGTGTGTGTGTGTGTGTGTGTGCGCGTGCGTGCGCAGGCTGAAATCAAGCGGATAAAACAAGCGATGAAGCGTCGTCCCGCGTGAATATCGCAAGGAGCAATTACAGGCATCATGAATATTAACGAGATCGAGCCGAGCAGACGTGGGCAACGAATACATTGACCCAATTTCGGAACGGGGGGGGGGGGGGGCGCGGGCGAGAGGCAAAAGAGG